GAAAGTCAAATGAAAGTCTTCGACTTGGAAAGACGCCGACACAATTCTCATTCCTTGACTGGAATGAGATTTGACGCAAAATGGTCAGCAAACCATTCTGGAAAAGTAAGTCAAAGTGCCAATGACTTACGTGGACCAATATATAAATTGCATGAGCCACTTGTCACCGGCCTCCTTATCTTGTGAGTCCGGCATCAGACCTTCTTGAACCAGGAATGCACGACGCAAATTACCCAGGCGGTCGACGTGGTCAAACAACGGATGAATGTCAGATACGGTACGTATAGGAGCAGTCCCTACATGGGCTCGCCCAACCTGGTACCACATAATAAGCCAGTCATTAACTTCTTTGTAATACGAAATCAGAAAGGAATCATCACAGAAGATTATGCATACCTTCAATGATAAAGGCCCAGTGGTGGGGTCATTAATGATGATCTCTTTCAACTTTTGCTTCGCCAACGGGGGCGCCTTTTTAGCCGAAGGCCAGACGTGATCATGCTGCCCTTGATGTCGTAGTAGGCGCCAATTGGATGGTTTGTGTTCGTCAATTCGACATCGGCCATTGCATGGAATGTGAACCTGAATGCCGTCACACCCACTGATGGGACACACGTCGCCGCTGTGGATAGAACATTATATTAGTAAAAACATTGAGACTATCTCGCAGAAGAAGTCCTTACTAACCGCTCTATCAGCTCAGAGATCATGTGGCGGCCTGTTGGAGGTGATCCAGTTAGGGGGCATGTTGAAACCGAACAAAGAATTACACCCAGACACTTAAATCTTAAGATTTTCCAGTCTTTATGGGAGTTGTCCGTCTTCATGGTATGCGTCCAACCAATAAAACCAAAGTTGGTTACTGGTCTATTGGGGGCTTTGACAAACACGGTATTTCCGTTCGGATAGACGGGATACATTTGCTCGTTGAGTTCACAACCGTGGTCGATGAAATCGGTAAAGCTGGATATATTGGTGGGTAGTTGAAGTTGAAGTTGAGATTGTCCGGGATTTGCACTACCACAATCTGATTGGGATCTATGATCTGATTCAGAGACATGTGTCTTCTTTGCCTTTTTGGCCTTGTTTTTTTTGGTTTTTTGTTTTTTCGAGCGAGGTGGGATCTCGGTGTCGGTATCTGCGTTTGCTTGGTGCTGGTGCTTTCGCGTGCGATCCCGCTCGTGCTTTGATCTGGTATGTTGAGAAGGAGATTCAGTGGTTTTTTGTCGATGTTTCTTCTTTTTGGACTTTTTAAGCTTCGGGCTTTCTGGCGTCTCCGTTGAACTACGCTCAGTATCGGTCATAGTGATGAGATCAGACACTGATGACTTTGTAGGTGACGGCTGGAGCAGATGGTTGGCAACGCGGGTAATGAGGATATCTTTGCTTTCGATATAATCCAAATCTTGTGTACGTCGATTGGGGATTAAGGACCGTTCGTCCTTACTATCGGATGGACAGGAAGTCATAGTTGAAGGGACGGAATGCATCTCGAATGGGTCTTCATCGTCAGGGTACACTCCAGCTGGATGTGAACCCTGTTGACCCATTCTATTATGGAATTTCGACGTTAGGGCCTCGTTGAGAAGTGTCGATTGGGGTGATAATGATGAAATTGGGAACCAATGCGATAAATCTGATAACATCAGAGCTCGATCTTCTGACGAGTACAATCCTTTAAAGCTGGAAAGGGGGATATCCATCAAGGATCGAGGAGGAAGGCATGGATATTTCGCCGAATGTGGGGGATTCAAGCTCAGAGATACCCATTGATAAGGTGGCATGTTCTTCACTATCCAGGTATGGGACATCTGATATCGGTGGAACCTTATGAATAGGAGGAAAGAGGGCAATGCGATGTCGGTGTAAATAGGCGGTGTAAAAATGAAGGTTGAGGGGGTAAAGTGGTAATATTGCATTGGGGGTTTTACACCGAAGTAACCGGTGTAAACCGACCCGGTGTAAAAACCACGGTACCCCCTCTAATATGTACTTTTACACATGAATATTTTACACCGACACACCCGGTGTAAAACACCCAGTGTAAAAATGCAAATCACGTGCCATTCACAGAATTTTACACCTGATATTTTACACCTGTTTTTTTGCACCGACATGAAAAAAAAGGAATAGGTGTAAAAATATAAACTACGGTGTGTAAATTATATTTTTACACTGACTCCTTTTACACCAGATAATCCGGTGTAAAGTGTACGGTGTAAAAATCTCCCACCCCATTTCTGATCTCTCCTGATTTTTCCTGATTTTTTGGACTTCTTTGAGAGGGAAAAAGCTGGTAAAAACATTAAAAATTGCTTGCTGGGTTCATGCTGAGTATGAGGCTTTAAGCAACCCCAAAAAAACGTTGCAGGACAAAGAGTGTTGTATCTCTCTCCAGATATTTTTCCAAGGGTTTTGGGCCACAACTGGGCCCACAATTCCAGGTACAATTTTTTGTCAATCATTTTTCCAAAAATGCAATCATTTTTTGCTAGGGAGAAACACATTATTTTCACAGTGATATGATATCTAAGACCAACCATCCAGCACTTATGTTGAATCATCAAATTACTAACAATCTCCTTGTGTTCCGTTATGTACTGGACGTAAGCCTTGTGACAATACAATTCTCTTGCATATCTTGCTTCCAAATTGCACGCAAGAATAAATTCTCCATAACCCATACGACGCTCCAACTAGACCTCAGAAGCCTCGAACCAAGGGCCTTTGCTCTTCTTTGAACCAAAGGCGCTAGCAGCATGATGTGCTTCGATGAAAGAATGCTTGAATACCAACAGGGGAACGTAGCGGTTCATCTTCTTATAAAACGCCTTTTGCCATTTCTCTGGCAAGTTAGGCAAATTGAAGGCAGATGCTTTCGTTCTCTTGAACTTTAAGCCCAAATCTGAATCTGAGCTGGACGAGCTTCCTGAGGGGTTGTTCTTTGATGAGGGGGATGACGACGATGAGGAACCACCTGAAGAGGACAATGAGGAGTCCTTTCTGGCTTTCTCAGCCGCTGATTTGGAGCTAGAAGAATCAGAGGAGGAGGAGTCTGAGTCGCTCAATGATGAAGAAGGTACGTCTTTCTTGTCTATTTTACGCTTCTTTTGGGATTTCTCTTTCATCTTCTCCTTGCCTTTAGCTTTCTCTGACTTCTCTTCTTTTTTCTTCTTTCTTTCCTTCTTCTTCTCCTCCTTGACCTTTTCTTCCTTCTCTAGCGCCACCATCAATTTATCTTTCAAGGACTTGACCGTATCCATGTTTTCAGCCTTAATGGCATCTGCCAAGCGATCAAGGATTATGTTGCTAC